GAAATACAAGTACTCCAGAAACACATATGCAGGGCTTCAGAGTGCGGTGGGATTCTGATGTAAGGATAGGACAGGAAATTCATGAGAAATACACTCTGAGCCCTTGAATGCTACAGGGGCCATCACCGAGTCCTATGGTGACAGGGTCATTCTAGGTTTTCTGGCCTTTTCTCGGGTCCCTGTCAGAGTTCACACTCTCTTATCTTAATCTGACCTTGTCACCTTTATTAACCAGCCCAAGAAAGAGCAGCAGGACTATCTCTCTGAATCTCCCAGTCCCAATACCCTCGTTGTCTCTTTATAATCCCTTTTCCTCTTGTCTTTTGTCACCCATGCTACTTGGTTAGACACAGGCTCGAGAGTTCTGGCCTAGGTGGTTGCGAAAGGGTCTCACGGCTGGCTCCGGTGCCAGAGTCCCAGGAGGAGCAGGTCTGCAGCCTGGGCGAGGGCCCGGGGAGGCCAGAGCAAGGTGAGGAGCGGTGTCTCCGGCCTCCTTGGGAGGTGAAGAATAACAGGGGGGGAGGCCTGTGGTGAGTTCTTTCTAGCAGTAAAGCTGTCCTCTCTGACTCTAGTTACATCCAAACAGCTGCCGCAGGATGGCAAAGAAGGAAATGAAGGAGTTGCTCAAAGGAATTCTGTGATGCCACCAAAGGCAGAAAGATCAGAGGCCCTCGGCCAGCCCCTGTGAGCATCCTGCCTGCATTCCATGGTGTGCTGTGTGTGGCCAGTGTGCTCCTAAAAGCAGCTTAGCATCCCAGTAGGCACTCAGTGGCTGACACAGCCGGGAGTAAAGTCCCTTACAGCAATGCCCGGGATTAGAGGTCTGCTTGTGGAGCTCACTGTAGGTAGAAAGCCTTTGCATGTAGCTGAGGACCAGCCAGACTGCATTCTCAGCAATCATGAAAAGCAGAATGGGAGCCTTTCCCATTTGAGTACCAGCTGCATGAGAGAGCTTCACGGAATTAAAAAGGGGATTTCCTACCCAGCTGCTGTGTGCGCTTCTGCCTCCATGGATACTGGCTTCTTCTGTCTTGATTGGTGCCAGTGAGTGACACTACTGAATACGTGTAGCGATAAGTGGCCTTTGACTGGCTGGACTGAATGTTGCCCTACAGCATGCCTTCTGGCTTCTGCATGGGCACCTTCAGGGAAAGAAGACATGTCAGAGATCATGACAGCTCCTATCTGGAGGGGCAATGGACTGAAAGGCCAAAGAAAGTTGACTGATTCACAAAAAGATGACATGATGAGCACATGGATCCAACCCTAACCAGTTCCTCCCAGTTCCACTTGCAAAGCAGCTGGATGTGGAAGAATCTGCCAAGGGTCCAGCCCTGAATGGTCAGAGGTCAGAGGGTGATCCTGTGCCCCTGTGGCCTTGGTTCTCTGGCCAGAGCCCTGGTACTGCTTTGAGTGTGCTGTGAATTCATTATGGTGCAGAGCTATTTACCTGCTATTGCTAACAGAAATGAGTTAAAACGGCTGAGGCTACTAAGAATTGTGTTTCCTTTTTGCGTATAAACAGGTGTGGAAAGAATATTTGAGCAGTGAATTTATCTGTGAAACATTCTCTCTGGTTTTCGTCTTGTGGGTAGAATACATGGGAAACCCTTGTTTCTTCCTGACTCATAAAGGAGTGCTGGGTAAAGGGATCAAGCTGTCTTCTCTCCTACTTAATTTTACTCTGATTCCAGGCCAAAATGATGAGTATCATTTATAAAATTCATGATTTAATTTTTCAACATTAACAAAAACTCATTGCCTTCTAGAGGTAAGACTTGTATGCTCTGCTCTGCCTTGACTTAAATGAAGAATAAGGAAATAATCCTAGGAATAAGTTTTCCTTCTTTTATTTTAAAATAAAATTTAAAAAATATAATGACCCTAGGGCTTGAGATCCTATATATAGATCTATTGTGATTTAATAAGAGTGATAAGTTTTTATTTAAAGTGTGATCTGCCTAAACCATATACGGCAAAGGAGTGGGCAGTGTTTCACGTAATTACAACTTACTATAAAATAGGAAGGGGTGAGTTCTGCATCTCAAAGGACCATCACGGCAGTGGGGTCAGAGGATAGAGTAGGGAGCATAGACAACATCAAGTGATCTCCAAAATTAAACTAACAACCTAGCCATCTTTATCATCTGAGTCTTATCTGTTTTATTTTCTTTTGAATAGTAGCAATAGTACAGTCAAATTTCACTGTAGCTGTTTTTTAGGGAGCAGGGATAATATTCATGCTTTACTGAGCAGAGTGCTTTGTAGCCTCTATACATCCACTCCCCCGAGCTCAACTTTTCCCTGGTATTCACAGGTAGGCTGAGTGATGTTTGCCCCATTTTACAAATAGGCAATTTGAATGAGAAGTGTTAAATGGGTGGATGACACGTGCTTCCCAGCCTGGTTCGGGCTGGGCAATCACAGAGGGACTGGCAGGGCAAGTTGGTCCTCCACGTCACTCACCTTCCAGATATCCTGATACAGCCCTTGGCCCTGGGTCACTGGGCTGTTATGAGGCAGGTGAGAGTGAAAAGATAGGGCTGGGCGTGTAGCTCAGGAGTAGAGAACTTGCCTAACATGCACAAGGCCCTCAGTTCAATCCTTAGCACCACAGAAAATAAAAGGAAACTGAATACATTCTGGGTGTTTTCCTGCTTAGTCCTAACATAACCTTTGAGAGTAAGAATTTCTGTGTGCATTTTTTAGTCAGGAGACCACGGCCAAGGTGCACACAGCCAGGGATTTTAGAACCGAGATTCAAAGCAGTTCAGTGGAAAACTCCTCTCCCCGTCCAGCCCATTGTCTCCAGAAGTTAGAGGAATCAGTGACACCTGAGGAGTTCCCAACACTTCCCCCAGCCCTGTGTGTGATTTTGAGTCCTCTGAATATTCAAACGGGAGTGAGTAGTTAGCTTAAGCTCAGGGAGATACAGTCAGGTTCTCTCTCACATACTTGTATGCTGGAGCCAGCGTATATGTTGGGCATGCTTCCCTTTCAACAATATTTACTGAGTAATTATTGTGTGCAAAGCACTGTAAGGTCAGTATAATATAAATTTCTCTCCCCTGGAATATCAGCTTCTCACTTTTTGACTGTTACCTTGTAGTCAACCTGTGCAAGCTTCTTTTTTTTTTTTTTGGTTTTTCTCCGGTACCGGGAACTGAACTCACGACCTTGCGCTTGCGAGGCAGGCGCTTTGCCGCTGAGCTAAATCCCCAGCCCCTTGGTCCACTTTCTATATGTATGTTATACTTCAATGAAATACTAATAAAATATCTAAACAAAAAATGCAAAAACATATAACTGTTAACAGATTATTTCTCTATTACTCCTCTCTTAGGAATATATCTTCTCTGCTGTCTTCCAAGGATAATTTAGAAAACACTGTACTTGAATAAATGTATGCCAATACATGTATTTGTTAACTTGGGGATATCTATCCAGTCTTCAGGATTAATATGGCTCATGCACTCCTCTCTTGATGGGGAAGAATCTTACTTTTCACCTGCTCCACTGTAGTGGTGATTTTAGAACGTTGAGAATGTTAGGCTAAACTTCAGTGTTATCTCAAACTGTCCTGGAGAAACAAAATGAGTCTTACATTGCAGAAGCAAAAGTGAAACATTCACAGGCCCTTCCCTGGTCTTGCTTTTGGCTATTTCAACAGAGATTTTGGGGTTTTGCTTGGATAAGCCTGCCTTTACTCTGAGTGAAATAATTATCAATAAATGTGGACTATTCTAGAATGTGTGTGTGTGTGTGAGAGAGAGAGAGAAAGAGAGAGAGAGAGAGAGAAAGAGAGAGAGAGTTGTGTGCATGTGTATGCACCTGTGCATTCTGGGGTGTTTTCTCTAAGATTATGGGAAAAGACCTTCAGAAGTTATTGTTTTTCCTGTAAACTATTACAATATTGAGCATGGAGACCAGGTAATGTTTTGCTGACAACTCCAAGGTGTAATTTACTGAAAAGTGAACACAGGACATATTTTATTTACTGCAATAATTCTTTTTTCACCATCAGAATGCAGAAGTAAGAAACTTTTCAGTGTACTGGTAAGGATTGTACCTTAGAATTCACCTTTGCTAAAGAGATGCTCATTCACTAGAGTTGCTTTTTTTTTTTTTTTTTTTTTTTTTTGGTATCAAAAAAAATAGGAATCAAACTCAGGGCCTTGTGCTTGCCAGGCAGACACTATGCCACTGAGCTACAACCCTGGCCCCACAGTTACTTTTTAAAAATGTGCTTAAAATATGTCCTTGTACTGTAATGTTTTAATTTTTTGTCTAGCTTGATCTTTCTCTTTCTTTTATCAGATAAATTTAGACTTAATGTACCACAGATGATAACAGCTTTACAAATCTAAATTATCAGAAGAATATAAAAGATTGAGAAAATTTCAGCTTTTCACGTCTGGTTTTGATTAAGGCTACCAGTTTTCTAGGAATTGTGGTTTTTGTCAAATGCACACGGAAGGCACTGAATGAGGCTCTGGCTGGAGCTCTGGTTTGCTTTCAGAAATCTGCAGAAACACTCTTTGATGTCACTTGTGCAAATGCATTAGCACATCGGGGTAGGGGTGGTGAGGGCATGCTTATAGTTGTGTGTCCATTACAGCCCGTTACTACCAAACACGAAGGCAATGTAACTCTTTGTGAATGAACATAATACATAGTTTGTGTTTTATGCTGACTTCCCTAAACCTTGTAGGTTACACCTAAGCCTCTCTGTGTTTATATTGAACAGATTCTTTATGGGTTACATGGAATTATTTTCACTTCTCTCCTGGGCTTTAATACAAATCTCACATCCTTTAGAAATATCAAGAGTTTTCTTTGATTTTCAGCAGCTAATGAATGTTGCTACTTGTATGACACTTCTCTTCCAGTATGATTAATGAGAAGGGTGGGCACCTACGTATTCTCCCCAGCATTTTTCATTTCCAGCATGATTAATTTTCTATCTTACCAGTCTTCTAATTTTGTATTTGGTCTTGTAGATACGGTCCGAGAACTCCTGTGTCAGATGACGCAGAGTAAGTGGTCTTGTATTCCTAGGGTTACATTAATTACTAGCCTAAACTGCATGCTTCCTGTACTCACCACTAATTGAAATGCAGCTGATTGCATAGCTAGCTGAATGGCTAGCTGACTTGGGCGGCAAAGCACTTGAACTTGGAATGCAGAACATATGTTGCGTGCAGGGAAGATGAATGAAAAAGCAACTTAAGTGTGATTCTAATACGCAGCTGCTGCTTCAAACTTAACATTTGCTTCTCATACACTGGGCATGTTAAAGTTGTTCTTGTTATGGTTTGGACATTGGTACCCCTTCTGAACCACAGAATTATTAAAAGGGTCTGCGGAGCTGTGCATTTAATTCTTGATACGTTGGGGCTTAGCATTAACAATGAAGTAGTCATTGCCATAGTCACATTTTTTTCAAACTAAGAAAATAAACCTTAAACCACTAATTATGGATTCAGAAGCCCAAGTTCCTCCTAGGTTGGAATCATATAAACTGTGGGATGCTTGAGACCAAAACATTGGGGTTTTGTTCAAGTTTCTTGGCAGAGCAAGGGGTCAAGGATGTAAAACATGACTTGAGCTTCCTCTTCTGGCTACTTGATATTCACTTCTCTCAGAGACTTACTGCATGCATGTCCAAATTGGAGAAGAATCCACACCTCTCATTTGTGGCCACATTAAATCTGCTTCAAAAATGGATTTCCCAAGTGCAAATCATTCTGCAACTGACACACAAACAGAAAGTTTTCTTTGCAGAATACTGGCCTTCTCAGATTTGAGTAATCTGTGTTTTAAGAAATTGGATTAGTAATTAATCCCCATTTCAGTAGTCTGGTGAGCCTGACATCTCTCCTCTCTGCAAAGGGGTTTTGTGTCCTAGTGGGAGGCTAAGCCATTGGGAGAACCAACATCAGCCTTTTTTTGGCCTGTCCTCTCTGTTTCAGCCATAGTTTCCAGGTCACAGAATGAGGTGCTTATATAAAAAGGGCGTAGAACCCACAAATATTATTTCCACTAGTGACGTGAAATTAGACCGTCCAAAATGAAGTATTTTTGCATTGTGCTTTTTCCATGCCATGTTCAAAATGGCAGCTTACTTGGGTCTGCTGTCCCTGTGCTGTCGGGCTCCCTTGGCAAATTCCAGTGGGCTATCTCTGACTGTCGGTTATCTACACATGGAGTGCTCATGTCTCAGAACCAAATCCAGCCTGAGCTTGACCGATTGCTCAGAGCTAGGTAGTCTGTACAGCTGAACCCTGCTTATTACTTTTAAAACCTGCAGTGGCAATATTTGGCATTCACTGAGAGGATTGTGTGAGGTTGATAGGCAAAACACTACTTTGATTTGGTGAGCAAAAACATTTTGATAGAATGGATTTATTCTTCATCAGTGCAAAGCGGCTGTGCAATTTGACTAAAATAGACCTCTGAGAAACCCTACAGGGTAGAAAAAAGGAAGCTACGGTAAAGAGCTTTTGGATTTGGCATGCACATGAAAATGAAACCTTACCACAGCAAATACAGTTTCTTCAGGGGGGCTCCCTCCTCTCCTCTAAGTTTACAAAATCCAGCCCCATGGACCAAGAAGAGTTAGAGGGACCTGTTTCCCAGAGGTCTTGCCTAGAAATATCCAAAGTACCCAATTTCCTACCTGGGGTAGACACAACTTACATGAAGCCATGGGGGGAGCAAAATGAAAAGCTGTTTTCAGGAGTTAATTTATTAAATAGAAATGTGTGTACTATTTTTAGTTTATTCCTGCATTCCCTTCCTTTTTCAAAATCTTTAAAGGCAATTATTTTCACTGGCTATATCTATTAATAATTGACACATTCTTCAGATACAGCCTAACCAAAAAAAGATGTGCCCTTTAAGGAGAATATAGGTCAGGGGCAGACCTACCACACAGGCAGACAAAAATTTCCGTTCCCGGCCAGCCAAAAATGTCCCTGTAGATTTCATTTCACCTTCTTGCCCTTTCCTGACTTGCACATTCTTCCTCAGCCAACAATCTGCCTACCAAAGAGTCTGCACCTTGGGACAGCGAGAGGCCGTTTTGTTCTGAATTCCCTTCCTTTACATTGGTCCCAGAAACAATGTCCAAGGGTCCTCCGAGGAAATTTGATCTCATCATTCAAAAATGGCAGCCTAGTGTCAAGAAAGTGCAGCCCAGGGGCAGAAGTGTTGGTGCTGAGAAGCGCGGGCTTAGTCTGCATCCCTCTGGACTGTTCTGGAAGCTGGCCTTGCAGAGTCTCCCCTGCCCCACCCCATCCCCAGACCCATGCTTCTTCATTTGAGAGTCTAAGTCCAACTTCTGAACTAGGGGACATTTCTAAACAGTGATTCAGCTCCTTTTCTATCAAGTATTGTCAATTCTCAACTTTCTCAGTTCCTTATTTTTGAGAGGACATACAAATTTCACATAGTTTTGTTGTTTCGTTTTTGACCAGTTTGCTGATAGTTCTTTTTTAAAAATTTTTTTGGGAAAAATAATACTTCCTGGTGTAGGAGAGGGCAAACAAAAGTTTTTCTTTTTAACCAGCATTTGGCCTTACTTGGGCTGAGGTAACAGAGCTTCACAGGGGAGCTGAGCTGGAAACCCAGGCCACAGAAAGGCAGTGCTGAGGGCCTGCTCCTCGCTCACCAGGCCTTTTAGGGAGAGAGCCAAATCCTGGATCTCAGAGCAGGCTACCATTCCCATCCCTGGATTCCAGAAGATGACCTGGCTCCATGGCTGATTACTGTACCCTAAACCAGAATCCTGGCCTTTAGGAAGTACAGATGGCAAAGCTGAAGGAAGGGATCCCCTTTTGCTCCCACAATCTGCCCAATACTTTGTGGACTGTATGAGGATTTTATAATTCTGGTGGCTCAGACCTCCTTGGTGGCTCAGGAAGATTTCTATCTTCTAAGGTCTTAGCAGAGATTGTAAAATGCCTTAACACATAACTGACTGGATTGGATAATTTAAAGGTAAGGTTTTTTGTTTCGTTTTTCTCTTTGAACTGAGAGGAGGAATAGGATAAATTTTGATCTTCTGGAAGGCCTGCTTAAGTGAACATAAGTTTGACTTTTCTACCCAACCCTGTAAATTCCTAAGTCTTTCTTAAACAGCATTAATAAATAGTATAAAATAGGTGAGAAATCACAGCCCTTCTTCCCTTCTGAGGACCACGGTTTATTCTTGTTGGGAGGCACAGCTGCTGAAATCAGCACTATACCACTGCGTAGCTGGTGGCAGCTTCTTATGGTGCCGGTAGAAATCGCAGATAAAAATCCATCTGGACAAGTGGATTGTTAGAATGCTCTTGGGAAAGAGAGATTACAAGGATGATCTTTTAATTTTGGCTCTCTTAAATCAGACTTAAATTGTACAACATCTGGAGGGAGGGGCGACATTCGGACCATTCATGCAGATTTGCTCTGAGTGGGTTGCAGTGAGGGTGGGCAGACATTGCCTGGGGCACCGTGGGCTTCGTGCCAAAGAGCCCATTGCATCCAGCCTCGCTGCTGCTGCTGCTCAGGGTCTGGCTGTGGGGCCACAATTGCAGACATCACTGGTGATGTCTGGAATTAGTTGCTGTCCGAGCGCATGGCTTTTCCTTTTGTCTGTGTTAAGCTGGCTTCAGAAATAGACTACCGCTGCTTTCTGTACCAAGTGGTTAACAGTAGACCTTTAAAGGGCCTCCATGTCTTGAGTTTTGGACTGTGTAACCCACTTGGTCCCAGAGATAGTAGAAAGACAAAGGGGTGAGGGGTGGAGGGGAAAGAGAAGAAGCAAGGAAGAGAGAGAAAGAAGAAAGAGGAAAAGAAAGGAGGAAGATTTTGCTCTAGTTTCTGTTTGTGTGTTCCTGTTGCTGCCCCAGCTTTTGCTATAACAGAGGTCTATGCAAGCACCTCTGGTCTTACCATTTAATAAGCTTCTATAGAATATTAATTGTATGCACAACTCAAGGGTTTTTTTTAAAGTTTCTTTCCCTCTCTTTTTTTCTTTTAAAAGAGTGAATTCAGAGATATCTTGACAAAAATAAAATGATGTATGTTAAAACATGTATTATATATGGCTTTATATATTTTGTTCCTTACTAAAATATCTTTTTTTCTTGATTCCAAGATACCTTCAAAGGTACTATCAATTACAGACAGTTTTACATGAAATAAAAGAAATAACTACACCAAACACACACATCATCCATTCTATGGTTGAATATAATTCAGTAGTTCTTGGCTGCATCCAAAACTCAGAGAACAAGATATGAAGCAGTAGGTGTCTAAAGCCTGAGGCCCGATGTTGGAAAATTAGAGAAATTGCCTTCGTCCATGTAGGAAGCATTGAAGCCACCTCTTTTTACAAAGAAACATTTACTGCAATAAAGTTCCCCTTCATGGAACACTGCCCCTCCACCAATTCTCCCCCAAGCTCTATACTTTTTAATTCTCATTTTTAAATACATTTCTATATGAGAGGAGCCCGGGACTTTTGAGTACCTTTCCGGGCTCTTCTTTGGTACCTGTACATAAAGTGACCCCTTGCAGTGCCATTTCTGAAGACAAAGGCTCCCTTTGGCTTCTGCAGCAGGAGGGAGGGAGGCGGCTTTCAGCGCGGTGGCGCCCCCAGGTGGCGGAGCGCGCGCGAAGCAGAGCCGGGCGCTGATCTCGCTCGCTTTTTGTTTTTGCTCTCTGCGCTCAGGAGCACGAGTATGTTTGACATGCGGTGCGAGGAGGAGGCCGCGGTGCTGCCGCACAGCAGGGCCCGTCAGGAACAGCTGCAGCTGATAAATAACCAGCTGAGGGAAGAGGACGACAAGTGGCAAGATGTGAGTTTCGGCCAAGGCCGCGCGCAGGCAGCGGGAGGAGACTCCCGGCCGGGTGGGTGGACTTGCGCTGGGGAAGGGAGCCCTACAGGAGCCCACCAGCGGCCGGTGAAGGTGGCAGCGGCAACGTGAGGGTGGCCAGGGAATGACAGGGACGCGCAATCGGCAGCGTGTCCTTCCGAAAAGCTTAGCCACACAGAGGGAGGACAGGGAGGCAGGCGCCTGGAATGGGGCGCAGGATGAAGGATGCGCGGCTTCTGTGTTTGAGGAAGAGGGTGATGGTCGTGGTGACAGCACGATAACTGGCAGCCCTGAAGGTTCACCCGAAGGCGTACCTCTAGTGTGCGCCGTTCTAAGTGCTTGGCCTGTGACCACTCATTCCCTGCTCTTAGTAACCCGGCGCAGTAGCACCTGTCACCATGTCTGATGCCACATAGGCGTCCCAATGCAGTGAAGTCAGTTGCCCAAAGTCACAGAGCTAGTGACTGGGGGAACCAGGATTCGAACCAGGGAAGAAGGGTGGAAGAGGCTGCTGGGAGCTTTCAGATTATTGTGGGCTGAGAGCAAAGAACTAACGCTGGGAAATAGCTTGAAGTTAGGGATGCGAGGTGGCAGGGTGGATCATTTTATTTAATTCTCACAAAGCACTCTGAGGCAGCCACTGTGAACCTGACACTACCATTTGTCAAAATAGTTGACTTCTCCAAAGTGGACACAATGCTGTAGTAACAAGTGTGTCTACAGTGTACTGAGCACTTAGTGTGTGCCTGGCTCCCACATTATAATGACATTTAAGCCTACAGACTTACTAACAGAGGTGCCGCTACCATTCCCATTTTAGAGATGAGGGATCTGAGAGAGGCTGAGAAACATCTCTGCGTTCCCAGCCCATGGAGAAGATAGATGGCTATTTCCCACGACTGCGGTCTCATCCCTCTGACCCCAGAATCCTCACTGACCATCACCGTGTTATGACTGCCTGTCGAATTTGTGGTGAGGTCGTTCTAAAGATCACATGGACGAACACATGTAGAATTAATGACTCTATAAGATCCCAGTTTTTTTCTGCCTTTACTTCTGAGAAGAAACTGTGTAAATTTCTCTCTGCCATTCTATAATTAGCAAATCTACTTATAATACAGAGGTCATAAATAGGAGAAAATGAAGTTTCCTACAATTACCTTATGAAGCAGTTCTCCAAAATTTAGCAAGTGACACGAAATTTGATTGCATATTTCATACTGCCCTGTTTTTTAAAAAATGCTGCCCTGCTATGGGTTGTGTGGATAATATATGAATATTTCCTGCCTTTGAGGCATCCTCGTGCCAAGCCGGGTAACACTGGATTGTATAGTGATGCCCTGGCATCGTGCTTCCAACCCTCCTCAGGGTTCACTAAACTCTAAATCATAGAAATGGAATTATGTGGGAGCTGAAGAGTATTCTATCTCCCCTCCCCCAGGATCTGGCCCGTTGGAAGAGTCGGAGAAGAAGTGCTTCTCAGGACTTAATCAAGAAAGAGGAAGAAAGGAAAAAAATGGAGAAGTTACTGGCTGGAGAAGATGGGAAAAGTGAACGAAGAAAAAGCATCAAAACCTACAGAGAAATTGTTCAAGAGAAGTAGGTCCTTTCTGTAGTTTTTAATGTAGAGTACCTAGATGTGCTTTTCCTGTAAAAGGTTGGGTATCACAGAAGCTCTAACACCAGGGTCTTGCTCTCTTGGTTTAACTCTACTTTGGTTCCCACCGAGGTCTTCTTTGCAATTTCTGTGACTGTTGACCTTATCACTGCTCCTCATCCCATCCTCTAGGGAGCGGAGAGAGAGAGAGCTGCACGAGGCGTATAAGAACGCTCGGTCCCAGGAGGAGGCAGAGGGGATACTTCAGCAGTACATCGAGAGATTCACCATCAGTGAGGCTGTTCTTGAACGCTTGGAGATGCCAAAAATTCTGGAAAGAAGCCATTCCACAGAGCCAAACTTATCCTCCTTTGTGAACGACCCCAGCCCCATGAAGTATCTACGGCAACAGTCACTGCCTCCGCCCAAATTCACTGCCACTGTTGAAACCACCATTGCTCGTGCCAGTGGTCTGGATACCAGCGTGTCAGTAGGCAGTGGGTCTCCAAGCAAAACTGTCACCCCCAAAGCAGTACCTATGCTGACCCCCAAGCCTTACTCCCAACCCAAAAACTCTCAAGAGGTTCTGAAGACCTTTAAGGTAGGAGGGGTTCTTTAAGAGTAGAACCAAAACTGAACTCCAGGTGATCAATGGAAAGAAGCATCCTGGGTCAAGGAAATGCGGTTATTTTTAGCAAACAAAAGCCAAATGTGTGAACATTTATAATTGTTCGTTTGGGGGTCCCAGGAGGTTTGGTCTGTACATAGTTAAGGGATAGACGACTCTCAGTTACCGTTCTTAATGCCAGTGCAGTTGACAGTTGAGTCACTCCATGAGCAAGGTCTGTTTCTAGTCTGACATAATGGCACAGTCTCTGTGCAGCAGGGGGAAGAAACCCTGATTTAGTAACACCTTAGTACCTTCAGCTATCTGGAGGTATACGAAGTTCATAAATACTTTTGCTTAAATAGAAATATATACAGCTACATCTCTTTTAGGAAGAGACTGCCGTCGTATCCAGAAAGACGTTACAATTGGAAAAAATACAAGGAACACATGGCAACATGGGATGTACTTGAGCCTCAGATGAGGACCCAGGTTTTTTTCTTAAGCGGAAACAGACTGGCTTGTTTTTACCAGTGAATGTGTAAAAATAATGTTCCAGAATCAAAGAACCTTTGACAGCCAAACATCTTTTCACATCCTCAGATTCCAGTGTTTTTCCTCCTAGGGTGAGGAAACACTCATCCTTTGTCTTAAGCTCTTTTGACTTTAAAGAAAAATCAGTTTTCATTGTCCTTGTAGACCATGGGCATTTGTAATAGAAGACAGAAGTGGAATTCATCTTTTTAGGAGATGTGACAGTTATGATTGTAAGAAGTTTATGTGGCTCAACTAATTGAGCAGTGTGATGTATCTTCTTTCGTGAATTTCACAGGGAATCAAACAATAGTTTCGGACTTTTGCTTAAGTCATTCTCAGCTGATTTTAAAAACCTGTGTCTTAAGCTTTGACAGGATTGAAAAATGTTCCAGCTGTCTCATCTGGATTAAATCAAAATGTTTGTCCCTTTTAGGGAAGGGGCTGTGTCTTTACTAATCACAGGCTCATCCTAACAACCTGGCATTGGTGCCAAGACATGGTAGGCATTGCATTTAGTGCATAAGCAAATGAATTTTTCCCGAGAAGATGAGCTACAAACTATGCAGATCGTGCACGCACATACACACACCTAACGTGCTCAGTGATTCACCTAAGTACTTGTTTACTTTCTTCTACCTGGGACCCATGACAATGAGTGCTCTGTGACATTCCACCAAGGAAATTTTTATGTTGAGGTGGCCCTGAACGTGGGTAGGAGGTACTTTATTTAACTGAGCTATCTGATCAGATCATTTAGATACCCACTTCCCTTCCTGTAGGTAATGAGTGCAAAGTGATCATTTATACAGAAGAGTTATGATAAATGACTTTATGATAAAACTCAGATTTAAGAAACTTCTGTCCTTCTCCGTAGGCACTAGATGGTGTAGAGGCCTCAGGAGACCGTCAGAGGGAGGGGAGGTGTTGGGAACTTGAGTAGAGGTCTTCAAGCTGGAGTTCCCTCTTGGCTAGTGATTGTCTCCTGGACTCATTCCATTGGCCTTGGTGCCTGTTGCTTCTATTGATAACCTACAGCTTCATCACTGAGTGGGTGATTGGAGAGCTGTGGCCAAAGGTAACAGGTAAATTAGGCAGTAGTTAGCAGGAAATGCCAGCAGGGAAGCAAAGGCAAGCGCATGCATGTGTATGTTCCTCGGGGAAGGAGAAGGCCGTAAATACCGTACAGGCCTGTTGTTTCACCAGTATAACAGAATTAAAAGTAAGGGAAGCATGCAGCACAAATTAGTCCAGTAAGTGTCCAGTAAGTATCCTTACTCTTAAAGGAAGATGCGTGACTGTAGTCCCAGCTACTTGGGAACTGAGGCAGGATTGCTTGAACCTGGGCATTCAGCACCATCCTGGACAATACAGGAAGATCTGCATCTCAAAATAAAATGAAATAAAAATCCAGATTATATTTTTTAAAAGTTTAAGCCAGTAATTTTCAAAATAAGAGTTACTGCCAGTTGCTACATTATTAAGTCAATTTAGTGGTTCAGAATGGGCATTTTTAATGACATGGAATAGAATATTACAACAGCATAGTGACCACACACAATCAAGATATATATTGCCTTGGGAAACTTTCATTTTAGGAATGTGTGCTGAGTTGTGATTTTCAAAATTTTATGGGTAACATATAATAAAGTATGAAAAGCGAGTGGCACAAGGTAAATAAATGATAACTGATTCCTAGGCTTCCATTATTTCTTTCAGAAGATTTTTAAATGCCATGATAATAGCTGATATTTAAGTTCCTAAAATGTGTCAGATTCCATTCTAAACTCTGTACATATACTATCTCCCAATAACAACGAAAAAAAATCTCCATAAGAGCACTAGGAGGAAATCACTAGTAAGTTTTGCATTTGAGCACAGAGGAAAGCAAAGCTTGGACGTTGGCTGCTAAGTAGTAGAGTCCAGATTCGAAATCTTAGGTTCTCTCACTGCAAAGCTCGCCCTTGTAACCGCTGCATATTCTGCCTCACAGTGCAAGCAGAGGTTTCTAGATGCCTAACCAGGCTAACCACACTCTGTGAGCCTCCTGTCTTGTTCTCACCACCTCCCCTAGACCTGAGTGAAAAAGAAAAATATTTTGATTTGCTTTCCTTTTAGTCTTGAAGAAACTGAGGTTGTAAGATTAACTAGAAAGGGGGATTTATTGTAACACGGCACCAAACCGGATCCCTTGCTTTCCACAATAGCTTCAAAGAAAGCACCCGTTGCCCCTGCAACTACCACATGGTAAAGTCCAAATTGTGGAATAGCAGTTAGAACTTAAATGAAAAATTACTGCAACCTAACTATGTGGCATGTGTTTGCGTTTAAGATTCCTTGGTTTTCTATACTTAAAAATAAAAGCACATCATAAATCAGGTGAACATAAAGTATAATCTAATAGTGAAGTGACCCGGCAGCCTTTTAAAGAGGCCCTTAAAGATGGCATTTACAGGAGCCCTGACTTCTAAACCCATGAAAACATTTGCGAGAGCTCATTCCTTGTCGGACTGTGATTATTTAACAGTAATTCTCTTAGGTAAATCTGGATGCGTTACTTTGTCTTTGGGTGCAGAATAGCATGTTCCTTGTTCATTCTGGCTTTTACAGGTAGATGGGAAAGTCAGTGTGAACGGAGAGTCAGTCCATGGAGAGGAGGAGGAGAAGGAAAAGGAGAACCCTGCAGGGGCGCCTGGCCCCTCCTTAACCAAATCCCAGATGTCTGATGGCGTGGCCAGAGTGCACGGGTCCCCAGTGGAGGTGAAACAAGGCAATAATAGCATTGAGATCAACATCAAGAAGCCAAGTTCTGTTCCCCAGGAACTGCTGGTAAGAGCCAAGCTTCTTTTCCCCTCTTGGGAATAAATGGAAGAATTTAGTGTTTGAAATATGTCGGTTCTGCCAATGATCAGTTCTTCTGCATGGGAATATTAGTTTGCTAGAGCTGCCACAACAGAGGGCCACCCACTAAATGGCTAAACAAAGAAATTAATTATTTCACTGGCCTACTGGTTAGAAATCCAAAGCGAGGGGCTGGGGATTTAGCTCAGCGGCAAAGCGCCTGCCTGGCAAGCGCAAGGTCATGAGTTCGGTTCCCGGTACCGGAGAAAAACCAAAAAAAAAAAAAAAAAGAAATCCAAAGCGAGGTGTTGGCAGGATTGGTTCCTTGTTGGCTCTGGGGAAGAATCTGTTCCCTGCCTCTCACCTGTTCAGACGGTCGTGGCACTCCGTGGCCTGTAGATGTGTCATCCCAATCTCTGTCTTCATTGTTGCAAGCTGTCTTCCCTGTATGTACGTCTGTGGGCAAATTTTACCTTTTATGAGGACCCCCTTCTCCAGGGCGACCTCATCTTAGCTAATCACATTGGCAGCCACCCTGTTTCCAAATGAGTCCACATTCTGAGGTCCTAGGGACACTGGGGAGACAATTCAAGCCATAACAATAGACTACAATAACAAATAATGTTTTTTGTGAACAAAAAACGACTGTTTCTTATCTTCGTATTATTGGTTTCTGGGGTTATAGGAAAAAAAGGAATCTTTACAATGCTTTTTCCTTTCCATTTGGTCAGGACCTCGTTAGACTTGCTAATATAATTTGAAAAGAACTGGTACTAACAGAGCCTGATTTTCCATCTTTAATGATATGTATAAAGGGGTCTTTTTCTCATTAGTTAATAAAACAAAATTCATTAAGAGGAAAACTAATTTTCATTAGCTTAACCCTTGAAATTCAGAGTAATTTAAAGCATCAAAGGACTATTACATCACCATGCTGAGAACGGGACAGTAACTCATGCCTGGCCTCGTAGAAACATCACCGAGAGGATTATACTCTCTTGGATTTCTCATCAGAAAGACTCCCGCTGGTGTTACTGATGAAACAAAAAGTGTCGCTATCACAGACACAGCCCAGCTTTTGGGGTGCGGGCTGGATGCTGTTCAACCTCACTTGTCCTTAACAACCTCACTTGTCCTTAAGTTAAGAGGATGTAATCGTCCTCACAGTGTCCGATGCTCTATGAAAGACATTCAAATGGGAAGAGAGCCGAACTCCTTACCATAGCAGGGTGTTTCCTAGTCTCCAGGAGCGAGGTTTCATGCCCCAGGCAAAAGCTGAGTCTCTCCCCCTCAACTGTAATTTTACTTTTCATTTGTATAAATCTGACTACCTGTAAGGAGTTCTTACAGATTATTGTGCGATTGAATATTGAGTTCTGCTTACAGTATGGGGACTTAACTGGTAGAGTAAACCTTAACTTCTGCCCTTAAATTTAAACTAGACGTCCTCTAAATTAATCAGACATGATAGGGGTGGGATTGCTTTTCTAAAACAGTAATTCTTCCCTTATTTCATTTTTTGCCATACTTCCTGATGAGCATTTTCTAAATTCTTTTCATTAGAAAAGACTTTATCTGGCATGTTGTGCTTACTTGTAACCCCAAGTACTCAGCAGGAGGAAGCAGGAGCACCCCAAGCGCAACGCCAGCCTGGCCAGCTTAGGAACACCTTGTCTCAAAACAATATTCAAAAAGTTCTGGAAATACAGTTTAGTGGTTGTTTAGCATGCACGAAGACCTGGGTTCAATTCCTAAGACTGGAAAGGGGAAAAAAAAGTTTTTTACAATGATTACATGTTGCCCAAAGTATCGTAAGAAAAAGAAAAATTCCATAATGTGAAAGGGTTTGTGTTATTTCAGAAGCCTCTACACTATCACAAAGAGTAATCCAAACAAGACGTCCTTCTTGAGAACCTCAGCTTCAGGATGCCAGCCTAAGCTCACGGACAAGCCCAGGATTCCCTTCTCTTGTGAATTTCTTCCTTGGGACAATTGCCAGACTCAGAGGCTTCACTAGTTCAGTAAAACCTAATGGTTCTGATGGGTACCATGATAGCTCTTCTGCCCTGTCTTTAATACTTTGGGCTCTTAAGCTAATGATGGCCGGGACTGCTACATTATTTTCTAGGTTGGTAACTATCTCCATCAGACCAGAAACAAAGTTGTTAGCTATGTTCTCTCGAACTTTGGCTCATTACTGAAGCACTTCATACATGCAGTTAAAGACACCCAAAGTTTCCCTCTTACATGGGTTTATCCCAGAAGTCATTCTAAAGAAATCACTTTCCCAGTAACCCACGCCTCAATTTACTTCCTTCTCCCTTATTCCAACAAAAGCATTCCTCAACTATGCTACAGCCAGGGTATTTCTACTGAAAAGTAGAAGGAATTGGTTATAGCGAATACCAGGGAAGGATACCAGTTTGGACTTGCCTTTCTGTTTCTAACTCATATGCCCAATTGTCAAAGGCATAGTGTTCTTCTTTTTAAATAGTGTCTTTCTTCCAAAAACTGCATTCCCAACTGATACACTGTCTACAGAGGAGTAGCCTCACCCACAACCGAAATGTCACAATTTCTCTAGGGCGAGCTGGAACTGTTCAAAAGGCACAGCAGCAGCAGTAGGCAGTAGGATTAATTCAGAATTTGAGGGAGAGCAACAGAGACGGCAGGCATGACATACACCCCATGGGGCAGGGGGAGGTAGGTGTGTGAGCCTCTTAGTCTGGCAGGGGCACTTTGCTATCACACGTCATCTCGTTAGCTCCCTTCTACCTCATCTTTCTCATTTGACACTCTAGGACCATAGTTTTCTTTGGTAGAAATAAATCGTGTGTTAGGATTCTTTTTTTTAATGTTTTGTATCTACCCATCATTCTTGCTGCCCTACCTCTAAGGTAGTGAGATTGTGATAGCAACTACCCTGAAGATGCGTTCCTGCTATGTATGCTAAGTGCCTGCTCATAAGTGATATGTAAGCTGTATTTTTACAAAATAGATTTTAGACAGTTATAAACTTGCTGACCAGAAAAATTCTGATAGAGCAACTGGAAAAATATTTAAGCAATAGATAGTTAAGTAGATTATAGAGTAATATATATAGGAGGTCAAAGGTCTTAGATTGCAAGAACAGGTAAGATCATTGTAGTTTGCGTGTGGTCTGGGAAGGTGTGTGTGCCGTAGGTTTTGAAACTTGACCTTAAGTGTAGGATTTGCATGGGAATAGGGGCAGGGAAGGAGGCAGTTCCTCATATTGGGAATAGCAGGCTCAAAAGCATGGACATAGCCAGGTGCCCAGAGAGGACCAGGAGCCAGGTGCCCAGAGAGTGACCAGGTGCTGTACACTCCAGGTAGGCGGCTCGGTCTCCTCCCTCCCAGTTACCCATGAGATAGTTCAGAGTGTTCGTTCCTTTTCACCATGTGGAAACCCAGCACTTCCTTTGCATTTGAAAATTTGGGTTTTGTTTGCAAATCGTGTCACACCACAAACGCAGAATTCTAGAATACAAGATTGGGAAGAGATTCTGAAGTTCCTTTCATGTGAGGACATCTATCTTGTGTTGAAGTGGACTACAGAAAGTGGACTACTTTTTGTCTCCCTCAAAGCACTCCTATGTTGTCGTGGTCCACTGTCACTTGCATTTGTATGTGAATCTCTTCTGTCCTCAGTGGTGCAAAAATGATCCTTTCCTAAAATATCTGAAGTACTCCATGCACTAAGGCAAAGATCAAACTTCACCTGAACGAGTGAAGCTTTTTGAGGCTCCGTTTATGTTTCAGTCACTTTCTCATCACTGAGACACCATACCCAACACCCACAATTTAAACAAGGAGTTTATTTTGGCTCACATTTCAGAAGTTTCAGTCCACGTTCGGCAAGCTTAAACACAAAAACAGCATGGTGGAAGCATGCTTTCTTCTGGGCAGAAGAAAGCAGCTCATATCACGGCAGCCCGGAAGCAGAGAGAAGGGGAGGAGCCAAGAAAACACACCCCCTCCAGGCCACGCCCCCAAGGCCGCCTCTTCCACCCAGACCCCACCTCCTCACAGCCAGTCCACCGTCTCACCCCAAGATTCAGTCACCTTCCAAATGCCCTGCCTATAAGTGCATGAGGTCTTTGGAGGACATCTTGATCTAAACCCTAACATTAATGTCAAGGTGACTCACAGACCACAGGTACCTCCAAGTTATTTTTAAGATTGTCATCCAGCAAGTGGAAGCAAAAGGGTATGTTTCTTCAGGACCCCAAAATGGTGATAGATATAGTTTTTAAAGTAAGATCATCAACATTACCATATGGAACTATATAAATTTCAGATAAATAAGATGGATTTCTTGCCATCTTCCTACTTCACTTGTCACTTGTCCCCACTGTAATTCTCCTGAAAACACAGAGGTGAAGCCCTTTCTGCAGAAGACAGTTGCCCTTGCAGACTCTCACAGGACTCTTCCTGCAGCTCCTTCTGTTGTGTTCCTCCTGCCATTGAGGCTCCCGAGTCTCCCCTAGACAGTGAGCCTGCTGTCACTCCGTTCCACAACTGTTGATCAGCGCTCTTTCACCCACTCAGCCCGAAGGACAGAGCCACCCTGTCCCTCCTGGCCAGCACCTCCCAGCTAGGTTGCCACAATTCTTCCTCATTGGACTGAGCCAAACTCAGCTCGTGGATATGGAAACCAATTGGTCTGCTTTTCTCAAGCTAAATAATGAGGTAGGTTTGTTTTTCCAATCCTGAAAGAGCCCATGGCCTTCCTCTTCAAAATTCAGCACTTTTGTGTTTTCTGATCCAGGAAAACAATCAGACCTTTCTTGGAGCATTTCACTTTGCAGTGAGAGCAGGGTGAAGGCATCTGAGTAGGCGCTGTTTTCTCCACAGCAGAGACCAACTGCAAATTCCTTCTAGATGTCAAATGTCGACAAACATTTCTTTAGAAACTATTTTCTTCATCCTAGTCATAAATACTCTTTTAAAAACCATTAAAGGTTGTT